AAAAGGGGGAAAAAGGGGGAAAAAGGGGGAAAAGCGAAATAAAACAAACAAAAAAAAAAAGAGAAACAAAAGGAGAAAAAAACCCAGGAAAACCAGGGAAAAAAGCGGGAAAAGGGCGGGAAAACGAGCGGGAATGGCGACCTGGGGAAGAAGATGCTCTCGACGACGTAGAAGTCCTGCATGAGCACGTCGCGCTCGGGCTTGGTGCTGAGGCTGCCCACGGTGTGCGTGATGCCCAGCTGGATCGCGCCCTTCAGCGCCGACGACGTGGTCTGCAGCGGGGAAAACGGGAGTTCCAGCCGGAGAAACGGGGAATTCCAGCCGGAAAAATGGGAGTTGTTCCAGCCAGGGAAGTGGGAGGATGAAGGAGAAGGCCAGCTGGGGATGGGAATGGGAGTTACAGAGGGAATGGGATGGGGATGGGATGGGAATGTCAGAGGGAATGGGGATGGGAATGTCAGAGGGAATGGGATGGGATGGGAATTACAGTGGGAATGGGATGGGAATTACAGTGGGAATGGGATGGGAATTACAGTGGGAATGGGATGGGAATGGGAATGTCAGAGGGAATGGGATGGGAATGGGAATTACAGTGGGAATGGGATGGGAATGGGAATTACAGTGGGAATGAGACGGGAATTACAGTGGGAATGAGACGGGAATTACAGTGGGAATGGGATGGGAATGGGAATTACAGTGGGAATGGGATGGGAATTACAGAGGGAATGGGATGGGAATGGGAATTACAGTGGGAATGAGACGGGAATTACAGTGGGAATGGGATGGGAATGGGAATTACAGTGGGAATGAGACGGGAATTACAGTGGGAATGAGACGGGAATTACAGTGGGAATGGGATGGGAATGGGAATTACAGTGGGAATGGGATGGGAATTACAGAGGGAATGGGATGGGAATGGGAATTACAGTGGGAATGAGACGGGAATTACAGTGGGAATGGGATGGGAATGGGAATTACAGTGGGAATGAGACGGGAATTACAGTGGGAATGAGACGGGAATTACAGTGGGAATGGGATGGGAATGGGAATTACAGTGGGAATGGGATGGGAATTACAGAGGGAATGGGATGGGAATGGGAATTACAGTGGGAATGAGACGGGAATTACAGTGGGAATGGGATGGGAATGGGAATTACAGTGGGAATGGGATGGGAATTACAGAGGGAATGGGATGGGAATGGGAATTACAGTGGGAATGAGACGGGAATTACAGAGGGAATGAGATGGGAATGGGAATTACAGTGGGAATGGGAATTACAGTGGGAATGGGATGGGAATGGGAATTACAGTGGGAATGGGATGGGAATGTCAGAGGGAATGGGATGGGAATGGGAATTGCAGTGGGAATCAGGACTGGAATTACAGAGGGAATGGGATGGGAATGTGAATTAAAGAGGGAATGAGATGGGAATGGGATTGAAATGGAATGGGAATGGGATGGGAATGTCAGAGGGAATGGGGATGGGAATTAGAGAGGATATCAGGATGGGAATTACAGCAGGAATCAAGATGGGAATTACAGAGGGAATGGGATGGGAATGGGATTGAAATGGAATGGGAATGGGGTGGGAATTACAGTGGGAATGGGAATGAGAATGAGGATGGGAATTACAGTGGGAATGGGGATGGGAATGGGATGGGAATTACAGAGGGAATGGGAATTACAGCAGGAATGGGGATGGGAACAGCTGGAGTGCAGAGGGAATGGGAGGGATTGGATGGGAATGCGAATTCAGTGGGAATGGGAGGGATTCCATGGGAACAGCAGGAATTCAACGGGAATGGCACAAATTCATGGGAAACCCCCCCCCATTTACAAAATTCCCTCAATATTCCCTCTTTGCCCAGCCAATTCCAGCCATTCCATCGGATTAACGGGGATTTTGGTGCCCTTGGGAAGCTCCCAAAAAACCTGGGACCTCAGAGATTAAAAAAAAAATCCCCTTCCTAAAAGTTCTGGGAAAGCAGCCCAAGAAAATTCCACCACAAATTCCCTTTCTCCTGCATTTCCATGGAACCTCCTCCCATTCCCAGAGCAGAATTCCTTGGGAAAAGGGGGTATTTACCTTTTTGTAGGTGGTTTCCCCCGTGGAATCCACTCCTCTGTGGCCTTTCCGGATGGTTTGGGATCCTCCCGGCATCTTGGGAAAAGGAAAAACGGGAAGAGAAAGGGAAAAAAAAAGGGAAAATTCAATTTATTCTTTTTTTTTTCCGGAATTTTTCCCACCCAAAACCACCGGGAAAAGTTTGGGGTTTTATTCCTGGGATCCACTGGGGTTTTCCCTGTGTAATTCCGACGTTTTAGAAGGAATTTTGGGAAGGTTGCAAATCCCAATCCAGTGATTCCCAGCCCAGGGATCCAAGGATTCATCCAGGAGTCGTTAAATCCAATTTTTCCAGGGATTTTGGGGGGTGGTTCCAGGATAAATCCGGGTTTTTTTGGAGCAGGAATTCCCTTGGGAAAGGGTAAATTCCCAGAATTCCCATGGGAGGAGCTGCTCAGGCTTGGGAAAAAAAAGCAGGAAAAATTGGAAAAGGAGCAGGAAAAGCTGGAAAAGGGGACGAAAAAGCTGGAATTTGGCATTTTTTTTTCCCAGGCAGGGAATGATCCAGGCTTGGAAAATGAGCAGGAAACCTTGGGAAAGGAGCAAGAAAAGCTGGGATTTGGGATTTTCCCAGCCTGGAACTCACCTCGGGAGTGAGGGATTTTTTGAAGGTGTTGGATCCTGCCAAAAGAAAGGAAAATCCATGCTCAGAGAGGATCAATCCCAGAAAAGCAAGGGAAAATCCCAGGAAAACCCCAGGAAAAGAAGAAGAAACCCCGGAAAACACAAAAATTGAATTATCCCACCCCCACACGCTGCTGGCCTTGGGTGTCTGGCTCCAAATTCCCAAAAAAAAAACATGGATAAAGAGTCAGAAAATCAGGGATCAGACCTTAAATCCTTCCAGGGAAAAGTGAGGAGCAAGGAACTCCTTCCCAAGTGGAATTTTTATGGATCTGAGCCCAAAATTTGAGGTGAAAAAGGTGATTTGGAGCTGGAAAAAAGCAGGATAAAGGGCTGGATTCTCCCAGGAATTCTGCCAGGTTCAGGAAAACCCAGGAAAAGGAAAAATCCCAGCTTCAGAAACCAAAAATTCCCTGTTTTATCCCTAAAAAGCACCTCAGAGCCGGTGAATTCCCGATTTCCCGAGTGCCGCCTGCGCTTCCAGCCCTTTCCCTGGCTCACATTCCCGCTTGTCCAAACAAATTCCACCTTTTTGTCGCCGTTCCCGGGCTCTTTTTTGGGATTTTTCTGGGATTTTGGGATCCCGGGAGCTGCTCCCACCCCTCCCCGTGAGTCACCGGGAAGGGGAATCGGATTTCCCTGGCACCAACCGACTTCTCCCTCCCCGCCCCATTCCCACTTTTTATTTTGGGAATTCTCAGCCTCTCAAACCAACCCCCCCCCCCCCCCCATCCCGTGCATTCCCAGGTTTTCCAAAGGGAAGCTTGGAATTCGGTTTGTCCAGGGAAAAGTCGGGTCCAGACCCTCCCATCCACGGCACTTCAGACACTCCCAGGAAGCTCCAAATCTCCCCAAAATTCCCTCAGGAAGCTCCGAATCCCCCCAAAATTCCCTCAGGAAGCTCCGAATCCCCCCCAAATTCCCTCAGGAAGCTCCGAATCCCCCCCAAAATTCCCTCAGGAAGCTCCGAATCCCCCCAAAATTCCCTCAGGAAGCTTCGAATCTCCCCAAAATTCCCTCAGGAAGCTCCGAATCTCCCCAAAATTCCCTCAGGAAGCTCCGAATCCCCCCCAAATTCCCTCAGGAAGCTCCGAATCCCCCCCAAAATTCCCTCAGGGAGACCCAGAAGCTCCAAAATCCCCAAAATCCCATCAGGAAGCTCCAGATCTCCCCCAAAATTCCCTCAGGAAGCTCCAAATCCCCCCAAAATTCACTCAGGGAGATCCAGAAGCTCCAAAATCCCCAAAAATCCCATCAGGAAGCTCCACATCTCCCAAAAAAGTTCCACCAGGGAGCTCCAAATCCCCCCCCAAAATTCCCACAAGAAGCTCCAGACTCCTCTCCCCAAAAGAATCCCACACTCCCCCCAAAAACCCCCACAAAAACCCCAAAAATCCCCTCCAGACCCCTGAGAAAACCCACAAAAATCCCTATAAACTCCTCAGCTTTACACCCCCAAAAATACCCCAAAGACACCCCAAAAACCCTGAAGACCCCTCAAAAATCCCTATTAATCCCACGTTTTTACACCCCCAAAAACCCCTCACTCCTCCAAGCCCACTCAACCCCAAAAACACCTCAAAGACCCCCAAAAAATCCTTGTCAGTCTGAGGGCTCCACAGCCCAAAAGAACCCCCCAAAAACTGCTCCAACCTCAGTGTTCTACACTCCCAAAAAAACCCTAAAACCCCCAAAATCTCCTGGAGCCCCAGAGCTCTACACCCCAAAAGAGCCCCCCAAAAATCCCCTCGGTCTCACACTCCGAAACCCATCAAAAACCCACAAAGTGACCCCAAAAATCCCCTCATAAACCCCAAAATCCCCTCATAACTCCCTAAAATCCCCTCAAAACACCCCAAATCCCCTCGCAACCCCAAAATCCCATCATAAACACCCAAAATCCCCTCATAACCCCCAAATCCCCCTCATAAACCCCCAAAACCCCCTCACAACTCCCTAAAATCCTCTCATAACTCCCCAAAATCCGCTCATAACTCCTCAAAATCCCATCATAAACCCCAAAATCCCCTCATAAACCCCAAATCCCCCTCATAAACCCCCAAATCCCCTCATAACCCCCCAAAATCCCCTCATAAACCCCCGAAATCCCCTCATAAACCTCAAAATCCCCTCATAAACCCCCAAAATCCCCTCATAAACCCTAAAATCCCCTTGTAACTCCCCAAAATCCCCTCATAAACTCCCAAACCCTCTCATAACTCCCCAAAACCCCTTCATAACCCCCAAAACCCCCTCATAAACCCCAAAATCCCCTCATAACTCCCCCAAATCGCTTCGCCGCCCCCAAATCCCCTCATAAATCCCCCAAAGCCCCCTCACAGCTCCCCAAAGTCTCCCATTCCCCTCAGCCCCTCACGCCCTCACAGCCCCCT